TATTTCAGTAGCTCCGCCTGTGCTGCTCCCCACTCTGTCTCTGGTGAATCCTCACTCCCCCCACATCTCTGGCCTATATCCCACTTTTTGTATACATAAATAAATAAAATAAATCTGTAAAAAAAAGAAGAAATTGTATGGCAGCTACATAGGGATTGTCACTCATTTTGTACCTTTGAAATTCCCCATGATAGAGTTAAAAAAAATAAACCCAAAAAGTTGGCCAATGAACATTTTTAAAAATAACCTCCCGGGCCTCCCCGGTGGCGCAGCGGTTGAGGGCTGGGTTGCGAAGCTGCTCGCGGCCTCTGCGGCGCCAGTTCGATCCCCGGCTGCTCCCTGGCCACTGGAGGAGGGTCCCACATGGCGTGCAGACCTCTCCTGCCGCCCGCTGCTCCCCTCAGCAGTGTACTTCGGTCCTTCTGCCTGCTCTGCTCCCCGCTCTGGCTCTGGTGAATTCTCTCACCCTCCCGCACTTCTGACTATACCCAGTGCTTGTATAAACAAAACAAACAAACAAATAAATAAATCATAAATAAATAAAAATACATGCCTCTTTAAAAAAATTTTTTTAATTAAAAAATAAATAAATAAATAAAAATAATCTCTCAAGTGATCAAAACTGCATAAAATGACAAGATACAATTTTCAACCTATCAGATTGGCAAAGATTATAAAAATGTTAATGTTCAGAAATGGCACAGATGAGGGTGTCAGGGATTCCTTATTCATTCCTTAGCTTACTTGGTGTGGCCTTGATATGGCTTACTAGAAAGCATCTTGGCAATAAGTAAAAGCCTTAAATATGTGAATGTCCTTTACCCTAGCAATTTTATTTCCAGTCATTCATCCAAAGGAAATAAACACGCATGCAATAAGATATCTGGTCAAGGATGTTTATTATAGTAGAATTATAGCAGTAAAAAAAAATTACATGCATACCAATAAGGAAATAGTTTTGGGAAAAAAAGCATATCCACATAATGGATACATACAGAACTATTAAGGAACTATGATGCAGATGTATATTTATTAACGTGGAAAGATGTGTTATAGACATATCAAGAGGAAAAATCAAATTTCAAAGACTATGTAGTAAGATACATTTTTTTTTTAAATGTAGAAGGAAAAACTTAACAATTCTCCCTCTTTTTTTATTTTAAAGATTTATTTATGCATACGAGAGCTGAGGTACAGGCCAGAGGTGTGGGAGGGGGTGAGTGGATTCACCAGACAGAGTGGGGAGCAGAACAGGCGGATCCACTGAAATACACTGCTGAGGGGTGCAGAGGGTGAGACAGGAGAGGTCTGCTGCGCCATGTGGGTCACCTTCCTGGCTGGGGAATCAAACTAGTGCTGCAGTGGCTGCAGACAGCTTCATAGTGCTGACTTAACCCCTTGCACCATCAAGGAGGCCCCTTGACAGTGAAACATGACAGTGAAAACATGGTTCAATTTTATTATTACTTTTCTTTTGCTTAACTTTACTTTTTCATTTTTCTAAAATAATTTTGGGGTTCTAAATAATGAATTTCTATGTAATTTAAACATCCTCTCCCTAGTGAAATGACATGCTACCTGGAATTTACTCCCAAGTCATTTAGGGTTGGGCAATGGATGAAAGAATTTGGCTGCTGGTTGACAGGGTGAGTGACTGGGTAAACAGGGACACATTTTACTTTGTTCTCTACTTTTGCATGTGTTTGGAGTTTCTCGTGCAAAAGGTTTTATACATTTTTTTCAGTCCAAAATGACATCTTGTCATCTTCAGTCTCTACACCGCTCCCCATAACACATCGCCAGAAGTCACAAAGGGCATCGTGCCCGGAGACATTAACACTGTCTGATATTTTTATTACTAAAGTAGTTCACTGTGGTCAGAAAAGCACTGGAGTGGAAATGATTCTCTTCTGCGATCCCTGCTCCCACAAACCTTTCGTATCTACACAAGACAGTGGCCTGGGACCAGGGGATCAGACTTCAGCCAAAAGCTAATTGGTAGTGCAAGGAACAAGCTCACAGCCTTAGCACCTTTGTCAGTCTGATCCCTGTGCCATTACATCTCTGACTGCCTGCCCTTTAGATAAAAAGTTAGCTGACATCTGGTCTATAGGGTTGAGATTTGCCAAAACTACACTTACACGGGCCAAGGGATGTTTCAGTCAATAAAGAACCATACATACACAGTGATTCCAAAATGTTCATTGTCTAGTGGCATTGTAGCCATGGTAAAGTCATAGTGTTTTACATAGACAGCAGCCTCATTACATGTCATTGTTTACCAAGTTTCTCCAAAGCATCATTTCCCCTTGTGTTGTTCACAGTAAGTCATGTTGTTTGTTCACTATGGCCCCTAAGTATCCAACATCCAATACTAATGGGCTGCCAAGGCATTTCTCCATCCTTAAACAGCACATGACTGTATTCTTATGATTTTCTATTGTCTAATAGAGCTGAACTGCAATACCACCAACAGCCAATAGGTGCCACTGTCCTCCATCCTGAAACCAACTAGACTTGAGGCATTGGGTTCTAGAAAATTCATTCATTCCTCCAACAAAGAGTTAATGAACGTCAACTTCGTGCTACACACAGTTTTAAGTTTTGGATGTACAGCAGTACCTAAGACAAGCAAAAACCTTTGCTTTCTTGGAGACGAGGTTTCAATAAGGAGAGATGACCATAAACAAAATGAGTAATAATATACAATATGTTAAGTGACATTAAGTGCTATGGAAAAAACAAAGCCAGGCAGGGGATAGAAAGGGTCAGGGAAGGAAAATGTGGAAGTTTTAAATCAGATTAGGAAAGACTTCGTTGACAAGGTAATATTTGAGTAAAGATTTGAAGGTAAGAGAGCAAGTCTTGAAAATATTTCCAAGACATTCCAGGCACAGGGAACAGCAAATACATATATGTACATTGTGTGTGTCCCCTTATTCAAGGAACATCAAAGGCAAAAGTTGTAGACTTTGAGGTCAAGGAGGCAAGAGGTAGAGAACAGGGCCTCAAGCAGGCGAAAAGGCTGCTGTAGACCTCTTGAGCAGTGTACAAGGAGGTGCATGTAGCATGGTAGAGAACAGATCATACAGATCTTATAGGACATATTGATGAAGTGCTTTTTATTCAGAGTAAGATTGGGAACCAGTGGAGAATAAGAGCAGATAACTAATATCTTTTGACTTCCAACTCCAAATTTAGTATCTGTCTGACCTATTTAACTACTAGTTATAAATGAGGTATACTTTGCTTTTGCTTTTGATTTTTTTTTTTTTTTAAGATTTATTTATTTATTTATACAAGCACTGGGGTACAGTCAGAAGTGCAGGAGGGTGAGAGAATTCACCAGAGCCAGAGTGGGGAGCAGAACAGGCAGACTGACGAAATACACTGCTGAGGGGAGCAGCGGGCGCAGCAGGAGAGGTCTGCACGCCATGTGGGACCCTCCACGGTGGCCGGGGATCAAACAGGCGCTGCAGAGGCTGCGGGCAGCTTCTCAGCCCAGCACTCAACTGCTGTGCCACCGGGAGGCCCTGATTTTTATTTCTTAAGCTTGAAGAAGAGTTAAAATTTATGAGAACAGATATGAAAAACTGAGTGAAGGAAGAAAAACACAGCAGTGAGTGTTGCTGTTATCCACCGCATTGTAACAAGTCAACCCAAAGCTTAGTGCTTTGAAAGGATGATGATTTACCTTCTCCCTTGAGTCTGTGGAGTGAGTAGTTTTTCTGTTTTTTTAGGCATTAGTTGAGATCATTCATTCAGTGACCTGGGTGGGAGGGTCCAAAATTTTGCTCACATTGCTGGAACTCCATCCTTCTTCCATTTGGCTTCTCTTCATGGTAAACTCAAGTTTCCAGGTTTCAGGGTATCAGGGTTTTTGTGGAAGTTGTCTTCAAGAGAGAGAGCAGAAGAACTGGCAGAACTCTTAAGGGCTAGAATTAGCGCAGCTCTCCTTTTGCCACATTAGTTGGTTAAAGCAAGTCAAAAAACAACCCAGATCCAAGGATGATAGGTGAGGTCCCACCTGCTGATGGTTGCTTGGCAGGTGGAGGGAAGAAATGGATGGTGGCCATGTTGTCACACTATCAAAGTGGACAAGAAATGCTGGCCCCCATCCCATAGACCCACACAACTCCTGGAATCCCCTCTTCTTTTGGGGTGCCAGTGTTTGTATATATGTGTATATATTTATAAAACATTGATATCTTTGACTGGTAGACTATGACTGATCAGCTTTATATTCTTTTTTTTTTTTTTTTAAAGATTTATTTATTTATTTATACAAGCACTGGGTACAGTCAGAAGTGCGGGAGGGTGAAAGGATTCACCAGAGCCAGAGCGGGGAGCAGAACAGGCAGACTGATGAAGTACACTGCTGAGGAGAGCAGCGGGCGGCAGGAGCGGTCTGCCCAGGGGCCGGGGATCGAACGGGTGCTGCAGAGGCTGCGGGCAGCTTCACAACCCAGCGTTCAACCGCTGCACCACCAGGGAGGCCCCAGCTTTATATTCTTGAATCATGCCATTCCCTAAGTCTTAAAAATCATTGTGAGAAGCAACTATGGAATCATGTTCATTTTCCTCCCTCACTCACTCTGCTGGCCCAGAATCAGGTCTGGCTGACTCTCCATGATACTCCTGGGTCCAGTCACACTGGGATATCCGCAGGAAATGGGGCAAGTGTGGCCTTCTGCAAAATTTAGGGAATTTTGCAGCTTTTTCCCTAGAAGGAGACAAAGCTGCCCAGAACCAGAGAGATGCCATCCACCCTCTTCCCAAAGGTAAACAATGTGGGGGAGTGGGCATTTCAATGAGCAAAATCTTATTTGGAAATAAGTTTAAATTTACAGAAGAGTCACAAAGGCGATACAGAGAATCCCCACATACCCTTCACCCAGCTTGCTCTCCTATATGTAATATTAGAGATAGGAAATGACACCTTACATAGTCACTGTGCATGATGAAAGCTAAAATATCAGGAGATACGATTAACTACAGACCTGTCTGCATTTCTCCAACTTTTCTACTTCTGTTCCAGGGCCCCATCTGGGTTCCACCTTCTATCACCAAGTTTCCGTGGTCCCCTCAGGTCTGTGAAGTTTCTCTGTCCTTCGTTGCCTTCCAAGACCTTGCCACTTTTCAAGAGTGGTAAGTTATGTTGTAGAATGTCCCCCAATCTGAGCGAGACCATTTTGTCCTCATAATTAAGCTGAGGTCATAGAGCTTAGGAAGAATAGGACAGATGTGATGTACCTTTCTCATTGTATCATATGGGGGCACGTGACCTCCACCTATCTTATAAATGATGTTGATTTCCCTTTCTAATCTCTATTCTCTTTTTTAAGATGTATTTATTTATATATACAAGACCTGGGGTACAGGCCAGAGATGATGGGGGATTGGGGGTGTGAGAGGATTCACCAGAGACAGAGTGGGGAACAGAACAGGCAGACTGACTGAAATGTACTGCTGAGGAGAGCAGCGGGTGAGACAGGAGAGGTCTGCTGCGCCGTGTGGGTTTCTCCCCAGCCAGCGGGGATCGAACTACAGAGGCTGCGGATTGCTTCATAGTGAGGTGCTTAACCCCTTGCACCACCAGGTATGCCATCCAATCTCTATTCTTTAGGGCCCAGCCTACGCTCAAAGGAAAAGGAATTGAATTTCTGGAGGGAGGAACCTCTGAGCTTTTTAAAATACCAAGCAGTCGTGCTGCTGGGCTGCCAGGAGCAGGGAGGGCACCACAGGCAGGGCCTGCCCACTGACTTGCTGGTGACCTTGAATGAGTCAGTCTCTGAGAATTGGGCTTTCTCTCATCTTATGAAATCCATGATGGTGCCCCTGGCCCAGAGCTGTCTCCCGAGAATCTCTGACATTTCAGCTTGTGACACTTCGGGCTGCAGGAATAGAGACCCACTGGGGGCAGGGAGCCTTATTATCAATAGGAACAGCGGAGGTTCCACTCCTGATCTAAAACCATTTCACCAACCTGATGGCCAGTATCCCCACCCCAAGCTGTCCCCGCAGAGAGATGAGACCATCGCTACTTGTATAAAACAGCCCCATGTTATTAACTTACTATTCAGGGCATGGCGTAGCTGGGAAAAAGAAGCATTATTTTGTAAAGTGAGTCATCCACCTGAAATCATCTTTTTGTACAAAGTCACCTTTCACTTGTCGGACCCATTTAAATCAAGGCGCTCGGGCCTCCCTAGTGGTGCAAGTAGTTAAGACACAGCACTGTGAAGCTATCTGCAGCCACTGTAGCAGGAGTTCTATCCCCAGCCAGGGAGGTGACCCACATGGAGTAGCAGAGCTCTCCTGACTTGCCCACTGCTCCCATCAGCAGTGTATTTCACTAGATCTGCCTGTTCTGCTCCCTGCTCTGTCTCTGGTAAATTCTCTCACCGCCCCCCCCGCCCCCCCCACTGCATCTCTGGCCCCAGTTCTTATATGCATAAATAAATATTTTTTAAAAATAAATACATAAATAATAAATCAAGGAGCTCCTTCCAGAGTAAGTTCCTTCCAATGTAAACAGTCCTCATGCAAATGCTTTTTGAACAGACAGAATGTTTTCTATGTTGATGGTGAGGAATTACCTGAGGATGGTCAATCACAGTCATTATTCCACATCTTGGCATCTTGGAGTGTGTCTCTTTACTGGTGGAGAACCCTGGCCAACCCATATTTCTGACACTTGACACTAGCAAAAACTCAATCCTGAGAGGATTGCTGCTTGATGGTTTTAGCAAAGATGGGACTGGGAAGCTGTGCTTTTTAGCAGGTGGGGGTGTCTGCTGGGATGGGAAGTCTTCCTCCAATTCTGTGCAAATCGTGCTGCTCCACTGAGCCACCGTGACTGGGCTCTGCTCTGGCCGAGGCTCTCTCCCTCCTGCAGAGAGCACTGCTGAACCCAGATACCACTAAGACGCCAGTCCTCTGAGGCCAGCAGGTGCAGAGCACTAAGGTCCCTTGGCCAGGACTCTTGTGTTATATCCAATCCAGCTCCACAGACAGTGGCTGAGGTACTGTGACAGGTGAAGGCAGACATTAATCCTACATGTCTCTGTGGCCTGGCTGGATCCCACAGCCAAGATGATATGCAATAACCTACTTTATAAATCCTCTAATTGTCTTGAGGATGGCATGGTTACGGGTTGTGTTGGGGCAGGGGGTTTAGTTCAGGTGGACAAGCATTTTTAGTACTCTTGCAGCATCTCTTCATTTTATGTACAAAGAATCTCAAAAGTGGGAGTGACACAGGATGTATTTTTGTAGTAAAGATTAGAAAGATTCAGGCCAGGAAATCTACCTCAGAAAGGTTTGAAAATCACTCCACTATTCCAGACTTCTCACTCCTCATGGCCAACTTTGCTTCACCTTCTCTCTTCCCAAACTCTTCCCAGCTTTGGCTTCTACCTTGTCTTGCCCCCTGTCTTGAAGACTCTCCCTCTTTCTTCCCTAATTATCTAACTCAATACTTCAAGACTCAGTTCAGTCCTGTGGTCTTTGGGAGGCCTGTTCTAACTGCCAGTATTCTAGAACCATCTATTTGAAGAGAAGGACATTTCAGGCTACCCTCTTTTTTTTTAAGATGTATTTATTTATGCATACAAGAGCTGGGGTACAGGTCAGAGATGTGGGGAGTGAGAGGACTCATCAGAGACAGAGTGGGGAACAGAACAGGCAGACTGACTGAAATGCACTGCTGAGGAGAGCAGAGGGCGAGACAGGAGAGGTCTGCTGCACCATGTAGGTGCTCCCTGGCGGGCCAGGAATCAAACTAGTGCTGCAGAGGCTGCGGATTGCTTCATAGTGTGGTGCTTAACCCCTTGTGCCACCAGGGAGGCCCCAATATTACAGAGTTCTTAAAGCACCAGCATCTCTTTCATCTGAATGCTGTAGCCTTTCCCTGTGGCATCCTAGGTGGGACTTCGGGGGTGGCCATGATGTGAGGAAAGGGGCAGGAATAGTGTAAGGGTTGGTAGAGAGTTGACCAGAAACAAAGGTGATATTCTAAATAGTAGATAAGGTAGTTTCCTGTAACTGCAGTCAGCCGACCTCCAGAGCAATAAGGACACCACACCTCAGGCTTTATAGATGGTTCCTTTTCCTTCACGGCCAGGGCAACAGGAGAAATAATATGGGCAGTGGAGTGAGACTGATAGTTCAGTTCAAAGTCCACCTCTGGTCCTTCACAGCACTATGACTTTTCTAAACCTCAGTTTCTCTTGAGGGAACTGGGGAGTTCCCAAATTCAGTAGGGAATCACTCAGAAGAGTAGGTGCTTGGGTCATTATCCAACACAGATGTTTTGAGCCTGGTCAGTGCTGCAAACCTTCTAATACATGACAGGGTAAACACTATACACATGCACGCCACTAGCCCCATGGACCTTAGACTCATGAGGAAGAGAGTTATCAGCCAATGAATTCTAATAAAACATGGTGAGTAATTTGATACGGGAAATACAGGAACTCAACAACATATTATGGGAGGTTTGACATAAGCATGTAGGATATGAGTAGAAGAGTAGGGGGAGAAGTGGTATTGCTGATAAAGAGAGTAAAATAGAGGACATCAAGGAGACCCATCGAGTGATAGGACATTACAACTATCTTTCCCACTCCCTTCTATCTCCCAACTGGCACTTTGTGCAGCATCTCCCTCATCATAGCTCTAGGGGTAATTTCAAACCCTTGTCTTAGTGGTTGTATGAGGCAACCCAGATTTAAGAAACAACACATGGCATTCCCCTGGCATGGCAATTGGCTAAAGATGATCTGATTAGTGCAAAGATAAACACTGTTTATCCTACTTGGATAGGACCTAAAAAACTATTGTGGGAAGACATCTTATAACCATTAAAGAAACCATACTGAGGGCAAAGCCAATACATCATAGAGGTCAACACTAAGAGAAGTGCAGTCAGAGCCTTGATCAAACTGTACCTGAAGCCCACTTACACTGGTCTTTTGACTGATACTTTGATTAAACCCCCATTGTTTTTTTTTTTTAAATATTTATTTATTTATTTATTTATTTATTTATTTATTTATTTATTTATGCAAGCACTGGGTACAGCAGAAGTACAGGAGGGTGAGAGAATTCACCATAGCCAGAGCGGGGAGCAGAGCAGGCAGAAGGACTGAAGTACACTGCTGAGGGGAGCAGCGGGCAGCAGGAGAGGTCTGCGCGCCATGTGGGACCCTCCTCCAGTGGCCAGGGAGCAGTCGGGGATCGAACCGGCGCCGCAGAGGCCGCGAGCAGCTTCGCAACCCAGAGTTCAACTGCTACACCACCAGGGAGGCCCTGTCTATGGAAATATTCTAACTAATAGCCACGGAAAGACTAGCTTGAAAAGTAGGGAGCAAGCAAAACAGTCCCTGATGTTAGCAACATTTCAAGCAAGACAAGTACAAAAAATGTCCATTGGATTAGCAAGAAGGAGGTCAGTCATGACATGAGTGGTGTCATTTTCAGTGCTGGGGACTTGGTGGCCAGGAGAACTCTGTGTGGGCTTCTGCTAGACATCTGACTGGGCCATGAACCCTTGACTGTGCTTTGGAGGACACAAGCAATCCTAGTATCTGTCATCACAAAGAGAGAGATCAGTAATTCTAAGATTTTAAACATTCTGTCCTATTGTGCCCACTATCCATCAAAATACCCCTTCCCTTCTCCCCTGCCAACCCTTGGACTATCTAGGTTCTGTGATGTCCTATAAATTTAAGTACAGAAAGAACAGGCTGTCACATAAACTGTGTAAGAAGCTTCCATTACAGCTGACCAGATGGATTAACTTTTAACCTTTTTCCCTCTAGGTGGTAACTGCTTCTAAACTCTTTAGGGGGAGGGAGCCACACAGTCCTTGGAGAATTAGATTTGAAACTGTGAACCTTCCCTGTAAGAGACAAAAGTGCCCAGAATTCTGCGTCCATTTTTAAGTCTTCATGATTCCAATGAAGCCGGCCTCACGCCTGTGTAGGACACTGCCCAAGCAGTCATCATTGACCAGCACAGGGAATTTGTTTCCTTAACTGAGTTCTTGTTCCATTGAATAAAGGATTCCAACCCACCAAACTAGCTCCCTCTTCCTGGCACTAGCTCCTGGAACCCCAGCTTTCTCCACTCACCTTTGGGAATTGATCAG